CTCACTGAGTCCTTTTTAAAATTGGAGTTTTTTGGTTTTTTTTTCACAGTGACTAACGCTGAAATAAAAACTCAATAAGGCAGCGTCAAGATGAGGACGAACTGACCCAGAGTCAGATCAGAAGGAAGACACAACTGCCACGGACAAATGACCTTCTCAGGCACCGCACACTGGTCTGCAGCCAGAACAAGGCACACACGTGGTGCATGTGTGTGTGTGTGTGTTTCAATATCCCTTAACCACAGCCTGATCTGTAATCACTGCCACCAAGGTCAGGCTCACATGTTCAGACTGAGACAAATGTACACACAGATGAAACTCCCAGGGGCGGTGGGCAGCAGTGTGTGCGTGAGAGTGGACGAGCAGCAGCAACATCAACAACAACAACAACAACAACACCAGCGTCATTAGAACTGTCTTTGTTTCCATTTCCATTTAATTGGCCAAAGTTTTCTGCAGCAGCAGCAGCTGCGACAACACACGGCTGGAGAACAGTGGAAACACAAGCTGGTGCAATTAATCTCCAAGTAAATTCATAAATATACAGTATACATATATGAACATATATAAATATGTGTGAACATATATATATTAAAAACAAATACATATATGTATAAATATATACATAAATATGTACGTACTGTATATAAATTTTTTTGTTAGAGCTACAATATTAACTAGAGCTGTGAAAAAAATACTGATTTTATTCAGAATAACCACAGTGTAGCTATGGATTACTCATTTAGTCATGATTAATCAAGATCATGATTACTGTGATAAATCAAAACCCAAACATATTTTTCTGTATATTGCTGAAACAGAAAGATGAATAACAGCCACTAGGTGCATGTGCTACACACCTGTTTCTATTTGTTTCTGATCCAAATGATGGAATTATCAATATGGAAAAATGTCAAGAAATAAAACTAAAAAAATATCATTCAAAAGTTAGCTTCATAAAGGAGACAAAGAACACTGGAGCTGTGTGCAAGCATTCCCTCTTAACGTCTTTCTCTTAGTTGCTGAGTCACACCTTAGACTTAAAGGTCATTGTAAATAAAAACAGAAAATGTCGTCCAATTAATGGGTTAGCTTCTCCCAATGAGACATCGAACGCCTCACTGGCTCGCTCCCTTACAAATGAGACTCTGAACAATGTTAGCTGGTGTTAAAACCTCCGAAGGACAAAAGCACAAACGTGTCTAAAAAATGTTTGCTGGATGATGGTGATGATGGGTAACATTGTGTAATTAATGTGAAAACGCATTATTATTATTATTGTGCAAAAGGCCTATTATTAGGATGTGAATTAGGAGTTCCAACAGGATGCTGTGTTTTAGTGAGCATTAGAAATCATAGTTTTACAAGCATTTATTTTGCTGATTGACTGCTGCTGTTTTATGGTAAAAACATTGATGAAAGGTGATTATAAAAAAGATTTAAAAACCCACAAGTTAATAATTGATGCTAGCTCAGAATGCCTGTTTTGGTTTTTTTTAGCTGGTACAGGAGGTCAGACAAGTTAAATATTAAAAGCGTATTACTAAAGAAATATTTTGAGAAAAAATGGTTTGAACACCTGAATGTTGATTCACTCTCCGACTTTCATCCTGTTAACCGACCCTTCATAAGTTATGAGTTTTTTCCCTGAGAAAACTTTGTTGTTTAGTCTTTTCTTTTTTTTTTCTCCCGGTGGTGAAGTACAATATTAAATTTGACAGTCAATTTACTCCACAGCATATAGAGACAGAACGCAGACTGTCAGAAAGTGTATGGAATCAAATGAGTTCATTAGAAACGTCATGGTCTCTGATGTGTGTAAAAGTGTGTGTGCTGGAGCTGTAAGCTGTGGTGTCATCAGCATAACATGAGGGAATCCCAGTGTCAAAGCATGATGTGATGACAGTGAGTGTTTGTATTGCAGTATATTCCCTGTCAGAGAGGTATTCCCAGATTAGGATTGACTTCAATTACGGAGACATGAACGCCTCAAAAGAAGCTTCTGAAGTGAAGATTAAAGGGAAATAAACCATGTTGTTGTTTTTTTACAACTGACGGATGACAGCTCTCACCACAGTCACCACAGAATCGAGAGATCAACACACTGAGGCACATTAACCGAATGGCAACACAACATGACGTGACCTAGTTGGTTTGATGTTCTTTTATTTTTTCTTACTCTTCTCTTTTTGAAGCAACGGCTAAAAAGAACATCCTGTTATAATTTGAGCAAAACTGAAGCCTGGCATTGATCTGCAGAAGTTTGAAGATATGAGATATGCATCTGATGTGTTTTTGGAAGAAGACGTGTTAATATAATACAGAAAAGGACGAACAACCAAAAGTTTGACTGATTCGATGTTATTCTTCAGTTTTATATTAACCTTCACTAACAGCTTTGTTAGCAGCTAGCCCAAATCCAGATTTCATGAAGACCTTTTACCTCTGTTTAAAGAGGATGAAGACCTGAGCACCTGCATACACAGGTGACCACAGTCTAACTAAATGGCTGATTGTTGCATCAACTGTGTCAAGGTGGAAGAGGGGTAGTGGCTGTGAGTCACATGGGCTGTTGGTATCACCTGAAGGACACAGGTCGCTGTGTCCTCCTGGAGAAACCATCAGTCAACACAGCAGCTGGATCAGGACACAAACTCACAGCCACCAACAATGACATCCTGTGTCCAACACAGGACAACAACCTCTTTCTAACCCTTGTTTTAATTTTTTTTTCTCTTATTCTGAGTTTCTTAATCTTCTAAACACATTTCACTGTCCAGATGAATTCACTGCAGAACACATTACAGTGCTGTATATAACCCAGTTACTGGTGCACAATGGAGAGGCATTCACAACTGTGCAGTGAAGGACCGTATATAACGACATCCACTTACAATTGAATCACAGACAGAGAGAAAATGAATGCTAGGGCTGAGAACAGCCAGAGGGCAGAGCAGAACTTCAACAGACAGGAGCTGGAGAACAACCTCAAGCAGAGCCGAACCCACAGGGATTTGTGCAGGACCATGTAGAAGATTACAGACTCTGACATCAAAGACCATCAGAGGGGGCTCTGTTCTTCAGACCGGCTCTGTTGTCCCATTCAGGACCAGATTTCAGACACCAACGCACCCCCCGTACCAATCCCACAATCCCCTGCTGTACACCTTTGATACTGACTTCAGAACTCCAAAGAGACAACCCAGCTCCTCTAAAGTGATGACCACCTGACGCAGTAAAAGGCGGGAAATAATGAGAATGTTTTCAACATAAAATGATTTTTCAAAGTGACGACGGTTGTTTGTTGTATTTTCTCCACATCGAGAGTTAAAATGTCTTAATGAAATTCATTTTTAATTATATTTACCACTTGAACCTGACTGTAATTTCTCCCTTTGGTTTGGTAATATCTGAGACAGTAATACAGAGACGTAAAGTTCAATCTGTCCGTGTGAATGTTAGTGTAAAAGTAAATGTAAGAGTTAGCCACTGCTGAGTGTCGTCACTGCTATGCAACCACTGCCAGCGGTGGTGCTGTGTCAAAGTATGTGGTTGACCTCAGGGGCAGCTCCAGACAGGAAGCAGCTGAAGATGAAAAGAAATGCAGAGGAAATGTAACGAGCACAACTGAATTCACCCAAATGGATTCCAGCCTCTGTGCATTAAAAAGTGTGTGTGTGTGTGTGTGTGTGTGTGTGTGTGCTTAGGTGGTTGGGCGAAGGGCATTATAAACCCCTGAATCCATATTCTTATGATGCAAAAAAAAAACAAACAAACAGTGCTGAATAAAAGCTGATCCCACTTTGAATCAAGAACGTGAATTCTAGCGGAATTCCATGAGGAATATATTTTTTAATATATAGACTGAATAGAATTGAAAATATTCTCTTTGAAAAAAAGAATGATTGATATGTAAATGGATTTGTTTTGCATGTAGATGCATTTCTTCATCTTCTCCCCCCGTAATCAATGGAAACCCAGGAGGTTATTTTCCTGACCAACGTTTAAAGCTCTTATTGGTTTTTAGGCTCTTTTCTGCGTTTGCTTTAGATTAAATTAAAGAGAAAAATCAGGCCTGTGAGTCTAAAGGAGGTCGGCTGGTGGTAAATGTGAGTGTTTTTTATTGAGGTTGGAAAGTCTTTCCAACATTAGTCCGTGGTGAGACGGGATCATTGGAGTGAAATTAACAGGGAGTTCAATAAATGACAGAAGAAGCGGAAAATCTGCACGTTTGAGCAAACAGACGAAAAGAAAGACGAGTTTAGACCTGCAGAACTGCACAAAGTCACATTCTCAGTATCATTACCATACAGTTTATGTCAATGTTAGCATAATTTGGTCATATTTGTAAGAATCGTTATATGTTTTAGCTCCGTTAAAGAAAACCCGATTTCCTGGGTTTCGCCAAATATGCTGGAATTGCTTGTAGGGTACTAAGAGGTCAACCTCTTAGGTCAACCCCCAAAGGGCTGCATATATCGTCATTGGTTGATATCGGAATCAGAAATGAGGTGTTTGGACAATATCGGCATATCGTATATCGATAAAAAGTTAATATCGGACATCATTAGATTAGATGAATAAAAACTGTGCCTATTTTCTGTTAAATAATAATAAAATGTCCTGGTACAGTTCCTCCCTCCCCTGATTTCTATTTCATAATAAAGTCCTTTCATGGAAATCTTGCTGACATTAATCATGTTGCTGAATCACACATCATGAAAGGTGCAATCTCTGCTTTGGAATCAACAATCAGATTTATCAACAAGCAACAATATCCGTCTTTCTGCTATAGGTCACTGCCAGCAGTGACGGTGATAAAAGGGATTCATTTCCTGAGACAACGTCGTCTAATTTGTCAAATGTGGACAGAATGTTGTTTTTAATTTAGAAAAGTACAAAAATCCAAATATAGCCTTCCTCTTTTTAAACCAATCGCTTCAATATAAGCTGAAAATGTACAAACAGATATATACAAATAAAGCTGTTCACCAACTCACCTGTAGATGGGATCCTGCATCACCATCATCTTACTCTCATCCCACGTCCACTCCTTCTTCTGTGGAAAAATAAAAATGAAAATAAGTAAATAAAAAAATATAACCGATTCTTTGTACCTTGTATTTAACATTTTTCCCAAAAAGAGGGGGCGGTGTCCCCCAGAAGGGACACTGAGCTATTGCAGGGGCTAGGCAACACAAGTAGGTTTAAAACAATAGCTGTGAAGATTTGACCAGCGGGGGGCGTGTTCCTATTTCCTATACTTTCTGGCAATTTAACGGAAAAAATGTTCACATTTGTCCTTTCTTTTCTTTCCATCATCGTCACCAACAATCATCACCTACAAAATGTCAAGACGTGATCTCACGGGATCTCTTCTCATTGATTAACATTTCTACAGAATCACGGATGACTCCGTCTTTTCGCCGCTTCTTCCCGTGATCATTCATCGCTTTCGAAATGTGAGACGACTGATGATCGTCACACTTGACATTTCAGCTTCAGGCGAGATGAAAGAGATGAGAAAAAAAACTGCTTAAAAAATCCCCAAACAATTATCATCCCTATTGAAGGCAGAATATTAACTTTATCAGCCGCAGAGTGTCTTTCAAATCAGGCCATTCATTCATTCAAATCAGTTTTTTTTTCTCCCTCGGCTTCTTTTTGGACTCCAGACATGACACGCATGAAAAGACTTCATAATTAATATACAACAAAACAAAATGCTCCACTATAATAAACCCCACCTTGACCTGAAGACAATCAGACGGCATTGTGAAAGGAGGCAGATTTGATTTTAACCAAGTGAATTATTTGAAACAAAAACTGGACTGAAACCATGACCCAGGATTCCTACAGGTCACACAGACATTTAAGTAGCTGTCACTTGTACAGTCACATGATCAAAGCTGCCAATCAAGATGCTCCAACTCAGATATTTTTATGTGCTTCATTTGAATCGAACGCACTTATTTTCATGAAGGTTTTCAATGATAATTTTTCAAAAGAATAAGTATTTGAAAAAAATATTTTTATAGTTTTTTTTTATAGTTTTAGACATTTCAGGCGACCCCTTTTGAATTCCAGGTTACCCCACATGGTGCCGCAACCCCAATTTTGAAACACTGCTATAGAGAATCTGAAGTTTAATTTCCGAAGTTTAACCAAGTGAACAAAAAGCAGAAGATATTATGGAGCAGTAATAACATGAGGGAATGTTCTGTTTGCCATACAGTCCCATCAGAAAACATCCCGTCGTCTGTATCCTCCAGATAGGCTCCTGAACACGCCTCACCTTCATCATGTCAACAGGAAACTGTGGGGATTTTCCAGACCTAAAGCAGTTAAGTGATTCACCAGTTGTCCTCTTTTTCTTTTTTATTAAAACCTTTAAAAGACTTTAAATGAAATGTGAATAGGTCACGGATCTCTTGGCTAATTAATGATATTTATTTTACATCCTAGGTTTTCATTTCTTTTTGATTTTATTTTCATAATTTTGAGGCAAGAAATAAAATCTTTTTTAACATCCCTTATTTTAATATATTTTGATTTAATAGTTTAATAGTTTAAAAGTTTTTAAATTTAAATTAAAAGAGCAAAATGAATAAAATAGAAAACAACATTTTTACCCTATTAGTGTGGTATTAAATATTGCTGATGATAAGAACATTTTTAAACGCTGGTAAAATACAAAATGCCTTCGGCGTCGTCCACGTCCTTCTACAGCGACATAAACCCAACATTTGTACTGATGTATTGATTGAGTCGTTCCTTCAGGGAGCATTAAGTCGAGTCAATCAAGTCTCTCTTTCATGAATCACTAATGTACATCTGAGCAGGGACGGCTGTGAGAACAAGTCAAGGTCAACGGCAGGCGCAAAAAAAAAAAACCCAGTCTTTCATGAAGCGAAAGCCAAGCGTTTCAAGAATTTCTTTTTAGAACTTTTCATCACGTTTTCTTTTCAACAGAACCACGATTTATATTTATTATTGAAAATTCCCAAGGTTTTTAAAACAAATGAAATCATGTCTGCTTTTCTACAGCCATGGACATGAAGCAACAATTTCACCAAACCAGCAGAGTTGGTTGTTTCCTGCGTACCAATGCCAGCGTAGCATGCTGATGGCGACATCTATCCTGTCAGGCTGTCTACCTTTCTGCACTTCAACAACATCCACTGGTTCCACACCTGACAACGAATCACTCTTTTTAGTCACATCCTCCATCACATTGAACTCTTTTCCTGCCAAACAAAGTCTACATCATCACCACTCCTTCATCTGCAGTCTGATAAAAGAAAAAACAGGCGCATTTTCTCTTTCAACAACAACAAAAAAACAAACAAAACAAAACACTACAGCAAGAGCAATACTGTCGCTTTTCTTATATGAATCAATTTAGTTCTCGAGCCTCCGCAAGAAGCTGTTTGTCTTTTTAATATTTTAAAATAACCTTGATTATATAACTGGGTGTTAGTCAGAGGACATGAATTATAAACAGAGACGTCCGGCTGTTTACACAACCTCAGGTTTCTACCACAGTGGTTTTTCCGTGTCACAAATAGAAGAAATTGGAATTTCATAAACCACACTGTGCTGGAGCAGAGTACAAAACACCACCTGTGAGTAGGGGAGTGTATTTAGGAATCTGGTGATACGATGTACGTGATACGTATCAAAATACAGGGGCAACAATACGATATATTGCGATACTGTAGGCATGACAACAGTACAGCAGTGTATTGTGATATATCGTATCGTTGCCCCCGTATCGTGATACCTCTGACAGAAACACAGCAGCCCGTGAAACAGAATTTGAATGACGGTCACTCACTTTTTTCTTTTTCCTCAAGGCGACTTTCACACCGTCCGTGGAGACCACGATGTTGACTTTCTTCTTCTTGATGTTCTTCACCTTGAACTCATACTGCAGAGAGAAGAAGAAATACAGACACGGATGTCATGATGATTGGTTTTCACAGCCACACAGACTCAGATGTTGTTCTCAGGACGTGTGGAGGAGTCAGTGAGATTATTGATATCTGGAGTCAGGAAAAAAAACAGATGCCAAACAGTCCTGAGATGGAGTTCGAGTTGCAAAACTTGCCACCTTGTTGGATGTTTTTACACTGATAGAAGACCGAGGGCAATGCAATTTAATTCCTGCACTATCACCAGGCACTTGAGCTGAGAGCCAATCAGAAACTCGGTTACTGCAGCCTGACATTGGAGTGGGAACGACCTTGGGCATCAGCAATTTAACGAAGAAAATTTTCAGTCAAATGCTCTGACGACCTGTATGTTTCACACAGTTGTTTAATTACTGATTTCACATTTCCATGTTGATTAATCGCGATTAATCCGGATTATTATGATCACAATTAATCGTGATTCATCCTGATAAAAATGATGTTAAATGACTCTAATCACAGAATCACTTAATTATTTTTTTTCATAACATTAATGATTAAACATTGGCGTCAAATTTTCCGTAAGCGTATTCGAACTCTGACAGTTTTGATCATTGGTAATGTGAAGAAGAGAAAGAAAAATCAATTTAGCTTTAAAAAAAAGAGAGAATAGTTCAGAGTCAAGGTTTGGAAGCTCTGAAGAAAAGACCATTAAAGCTTGCTGGAAAAACTGTTGAACCATAAAATTGATTTGTCTAAAGCACTTCACCTCAGCCAATACCTGAGGGAGCGGAGGAACTATGACAAAGTGCAGGTGTGTTATATTAGTCCCTGCATGACTGCAGACCAGTCAAATGTGTGCAGTATGTAACCAAACAATTTAGAATCAATTTATTGTATTTTTTTAAACCTCACCGACCCTGTGTTCTTTCTTTCTTCTTATTTTAATGATGAACAGATTTTATAAATAAGTAAACGTCGAGTGCCTTGGTTTGGTTGACAGACCTCACAGTCCATGTCATAAATCAGCTGACTTTTATTGCCTTCTAACAGAGTCATGAACACGGCGGAACAACAGCGGCGCTCCGACAGGAAACCGCAGTCCACAAACTGTGAGCAAAAGGGCTATTTTTTTCTGTTCAAAGGCAAGGTCACGACCTCAAAAAGAAGTCCACTAATAGCGGTCAGCGACCTTGCCTTACAGCAAGAAGATCAGGCGTTCGATTCTCTGTGGTAGCGGATTTGGAGTTCTCATGTTCTCCAGGTGTGTGTGAGTGTTTGTGTCCAAAAATGTGGGATCAGGTGAGTTGGCCTTGGAGTTGGGGGTGTGAATGTGAGTGTGGGTGGTTGTACGTGTTTATACTGTATGTGGCCCAGTAAATGGACATCAACCAATGATGAAGCAGAACAAGATGAAGGAATCAGGACAAGGTCGCCATTTTTCAGAAGATCAGAAAAGTTCCGATCATAGAGACAGCTGAGCTGAGACAGTTTGGACATTAGCTGGGGACAAATACTGGACAGGATGTTTTCCCAGATCTTTCCCTTATGAAGTCTGTGTAGTGCAGTGTTGCTGTATAAAAAAGCCATTGTTATAATGAACCAGACTCTCAATGACTGCGGTCCAAAACTTTGGGCAGCCGTGATGGAAGCAGCATCCGTCCAAGGTGAACTGAGTGACAGAAGAGACAACCTGGTCGAATCCTGGCCTGAAAAACGTTGTCTTTCATTGTGACTGATTGTGTTTATCACCTGATGTGCTGCCATTCCATCACTTCTCATCCACCCAGCAGAATGTTGATATTCTGCTTAACTTTATGTCACAGTTCTCCATCTGTGTTATGGCACGTCCTCGGAAATCAATTTGACAGAGACGCTGCTGCTGTGGCCGTTCAACGTGTGGTTAGCTTTTAACAGGAGAAATTTATTCAGCAACATATTACATGTACTGAAAAAATGACTGAAGCCCCTTCTGTTGTTACTGTCAAACCTCCACCAGCAGGTGGAAGTTTTATGTGGATTTCATCTGGGCGTGTATAAATCAGAAGCCCCGCTGTGCTACATAAGTAAGATGTAAACGATTTCTGTTCAGATCGATGACACCATTGACCTGATTGCAGTGGCGCTTTAACAAATTTAATGCCGGGCGTCGTCTGGTTGACAGCAGTGAGGACTGGACTCTAATGAATGCCTGAAACAAACACCATCTTGGAGTGTTTCATTTATTCACTACACAAATGACAACATCCGTATTCTTCTTAATATCATCACTGCATACACCAATGTAATATGGCAGTATAAATGAAAATAAAAAAAAGTATTAGGATTGAAAAGAGGTTACCAATGAGAGGAAAACTGCGAAGTAATATAGTAATATAGGTAGTAAATAGGCTTTTTGTACGGATTTAAATTATTTATACCACTTGTAAAAACGGGTCTTCATAATAAAAATGTCCGACGGTTTGTTTCACAGTGGACTCTGAATTTATAAAGACTGGTCACAGTCTTTATGACCAAAAGTAACAGAGCCTGTAATAGAAAAAGCTTTTTTATTTATCTGTTATATTTCAATAATAAACCTTGGCTGCCCTCTGCTAACACACACACACGTGCACAGTGCACGAGGTGGGGTAAATAACATCACTGCTTGTCGTGGACTCTGCTCCTCAACGTCACTGCAGTGTAAAAATTAAAAGACCATTAAAGTGTTTTACTGAAGCAGCTGTTGGTGGAGACGGAGTCACATGACCTCGGCACATCAAAGTTACGATAACTCTTTAGAGTCAGTGAAAAGTAGCTCTGCAGTGATTGACTTTCAGTTTATTCTCGTGAATATTTCTGCCTGACCTGTGGTTTGGGTGTCGACGGTGAATCAAAGCAAAAAATAAATAAAAAATAGAAGGAGGAGGTGGAGGTCAATAGGTCAGGTTAACAAATACAAGATATTTCAGCAAAACTGACTCCAACCTAACTGTCAGATTATTAGATAATTGTCTTTGTTATTACTTTGTTAACTTGCCGTTCAGTTGATAAAATTATTTCTGATTCTTTAAAAGTGGCGCTTTGGCCCAGAGGCAATGTCTCTGTCATTGGTGTGGAACCCCAGGGTTCACCTCCTGGGCAAGTTCGAATCCCGGTTGGGGCGGTTGGTACCTTCCAGTGGACTCACCACCTGCAGGAAGGTTTGGGGGGTTGGTACGGTGCAATGTGATTTGAGTGGCGACTGCTGCCCCCGCAACCTGGTAACAGATAAGCGGCTGAAAATGGATGGATGGATAAAGCACTGTTTCCCAAACCTTTTTTCTGGGGACCAATATTTCAAAAGTCCTAAAAAAAGTCCCAAATCAATAGACATTATTTGTAAACTCCTGGGAAACATGATGCAAGACGACCCCCGCCGCCCCCCCCCCCCCAAAAAAAAACTCTCATTAGGAAACAATGCTTTAAAGAGTTTTCTTACACACTCACGAGAAATTAAGATCAGAAAGCCTGTGATTGGCTGGTGAGTCTTCTGATTCAAGCTGCCATTTCATTGGTTGGGGTGGATTCCTGCTCCACTTTCGATGTCAGCGTAGCAGTGGTGGAAGTTTTAAAAAGTTAATTGTCAGTGAGCAACAGAATATATGTTTGTTGTAGAAACTGTTGAAAATATAACCTCCAACTTTGGTCTGTAATCTTGATGGTCATCAACTAATTCCACTTTACTGCCTCTTCATATAACTACAGGTCATTTTTTTACATTTTTAAATTATTACCTATCAATCAGAAAACTCACAGGAGTTCAAAAAAGAACGAAAGCACAAAAAGAATTAATCTCTGAATGACGACAATAAACCTGATTCGCCCGCGTGATGCTAACTTTGGAGTCAGCCCACTGTTCCAGAAACAGAACATTAGATTAACTGTTATGTTAACAAACCTGGTGACTTTTGTGCTCCAAGAATGAACTCATACATCACACAACACTCCGCTCGTCCATTTTCAGGAACAATTTCCTGATAATCTGCTCATTATTTCCTACAGGTTTTCTCAGCCAGTTTCCAGTGTAATCCATCATTCCAGCAACAAAGGCACTTAAACAAACAATGACACAATGGTGTCCCAGCGGCAAAAGGATTCTATTTTCCTCCTGAGTGAAATATCAGGCGGGAGCCAGGAGAGCTCAACAAAGACCTACACTTCTATTGATAGCTGCAGCAGCCATAGAGAAGACAATGAGTGAAAGCACTCAAACTCGAGCTAATAGCTCACGTGCAGTTCAACAGTGTGGTCAATTAGAAAAGCCATGTGGTGGAATAGCAGAGCTGGTCACCGCATGTGGGATCAGATTCTCTATGTTCCTGTGGTTATGGCAGGGGGAACACATTTTAGAGAATGTTTTTTTCTAGTTTATATGAGTCAGTGTAGTTTGACGGTCAACATCTGAACTCTGACTGCTGTGTGGGGGTTAGTTTGGAAATCTTCATGTGTGTGTGTTGGTTTTCTATTATACATTTACACATACATACATATATATATACATATATACATACATACATATATACACACATATGTGGATATACATACATGTACATTCATATGCATAAGCATATATACATATACATATATACACATATACACATATACATATACACACATATATACATATACATACAACAACCCTCGATTCAACATTTTCAGTTCTGAGCCTAGTTATGGTATGAAGTGAAGGGGAGAAAAATGTTAAAAAGACACTTTCTGGGGGGAAAAAAAAGAAAAAAACTCTGAGACTTTTGAAAGTAAACTGGAGTAAACAGCAGGTTTTTTTGGAGCAGTGAGTCTGTGCTGCCATAATCAAAATGATTTTCTCCTGTTAAAGAGATGGTTCATACACAAAACAAACAAAAAAAAAACCCAGAATATTCTGTCCCAGCCTCTTACATACATCTCTGTTCAGTGCCGACCACAGAACTCTCGTCTGTTTCTCTCTTCTGTACATCAACACCATTCGGCTGTTTTTGTTTTTTTTTCTTTTCAT